ATAATTTTCTATAATGAATACGAATTACCTGTGTAAGAAAAGATACATTTAAAATAAATGACAAAGAGCCAAATATTACTCTACTGAATATAATTAGTCTGCTGAATAGAAGCCACTTACTTCCATTTGATGATTTAATGCAATGAACAATTTTTAAAATAAATGGTTTGTGCTTAGGAAGAGAAAGAACAAAGAAATAAACTCTACTAAAGAGTCTTCATGCTGGTTCAAATCATGACATAAAGGATGGTTTAAAAAATAAACACACCACTGAAGTAGTATTTAAAATATCACATTTGTACATTTCTGAGTATTAAATAAAAGTAATGCTGGCTAAAGTAAAGGCATCTAATAAATGTTTGCTGACTATCAAATTGAATGACTTTGCCAAGTAAAAATGACAAATGTATTCATATGTAACTATTTTGAAACAAATGTAAATTATTTCACAGACTCCTTTAACAGTTTTTGACATTAAGAGAACAGTGCTTTAACCATTAGCAAAAGATTGATTTCAAAATTCTTTAAGGCACTGAAAGTAGAAGTATACATAACATACTACCCACACAATTAAATGGCATCAAAACTTATACTGAGAAGTATATAAATAAGATTATTTTTAAGCTGAAAAAATACATAATAATTTAACCAATAAATCAAAATCTGTAACATTAAATATGTATTTTTATATATCAGCCCTAACAATTCTTTTCTTTTCTTTTCTTTTTTTTGAGTTGGAATCTCACTCTGTCACCTAGGCTGGAGTGTAGCGTGGCACACTCACGGCCACCACAGCCTTGACCTACTGGGCTCAGGTGATCCTTCTGCCTCAGTCTTCCAAACAGCTGAAACTACGGGTGCATGCTACCATGGCCGGCTAATTTTTTGATTTATTGTAGAGACGAGGTCTCACCAAGTTGTCTAGGCTGATCTTGAACCCCCGGACTCAGGCAATCCTCTCACTTCGGCCTCCCAAAGTGCTGGGATTACAGGCTTGAGCCACCGCACCTGGCCTTTTTTCTTTTTCTGAGTTGGGGCTCACTCTGTTACCCAGACTGGAGTTCAGTGGCATGCTTGTGGCTCAATGCAGCCTCAATTTCCTAGGCTCAAGCAATCCTTCCTCCTGAGCTTCCCAAGGAGCTGGGACTCCAGGCATGCGCCACCACAACTGGCTAATTTTTTTTTTCTTTTTGTAATGACAGGTTCTTGCTATGTTGCTTAGGCTGGGTTTGAGCAATCTTCCCACTTCAGCCTTCAAGGTGCTGGGATTATAGGCCGTGTACTCCTGTCCCTGACTGTCAGTCCTAACAATTATTTTTCAGAAAATGACTGAAGACAGTTTTGAAACAACTGCTTGGGTCAAATTGTATTCCATACTTGAGACACTTGCTTATTTTCCTTTTTTTTTTTTTTTTGAGTCAGAGTCTCACTTTGCCACCCAGGCTTGGGTGCAATGGCACGCTCACAGCCACTGCAGCCTCGACCTGCTGGGCTCAGGTGATCCTTTGGCCTCAACCTTCCAAGCAGCTGGAACTCAGGCGTGTACTACCACACCCAGCTTATTTTTTTATTTATTGTAGAGACAAGGTCTTGCCAAGTTACCCAGGCTGGTCTTGAGCCCCTGGGCTCAAGCAATCCTCTCACCTCGGCCTCCCAAAGTGCAGAGATTATAGGCATGAGTCACCACCCCCAACTGACACTTGCTTATTTTCAAGTTTTCCTTCGCTTAGCAAACTCAGTTTATGTTTTCCTAAGTCAACCTATTTTGAGAACTCCACACATTTAACTAACAACTTTACAACTTTTCAACTTTCATGTAAGAAGCTTTACTGGATTATTCTCAATTTGGGAAACCTTTGAGAATATTATTCACATTAACAAAAGTTTTCAGTTATAATAATGAAGGTTATTGCTGATGACAGGTCCTCTCGCGGGGTGTATTACACATGTGCACACAACAGAACCTCCATTGTGTATTCCCGTTAAATAATCCTAAACTGGAAAATCTGCCTAGGAGGCTTTTCTATGGGAACACAAGAAATATTCTCAATGAGAGGCCTCCACATGATTATAATTATGTAAATGAAAATGCTACATGATGGCTATGTGAAACATTCTCTTACACAGTCCTGAACATATAATAACAATCTCCTATGTTATTTTCTATATCGGAAAGATATATCTATTGATTTTACCATCACCTCATTTTTTTGGTAAGAAATGACATTACTGCCGGGCTCGGTGGCTCAGCCTGTAATTCCGCGCCTTTGGGAGGCTGAGGTGAGCAGATTGCCTGAGCCTGAGGGTTCGAGACCTGCCTGGGCAGCGAGACCTCATCTCTACAATAAATCAAAAAATCAGCTGGGCGTGGTAGCGCACGCCTGTAGTTCCAGCTACTTGGAAGGCTGAGGTGGAAGGATCGCTGGAGCCCAGCAGGTCGAGGCTGCGGTGGCCGGGAGCGGCCACTGCACTCCAGTCTGGGCGACAGAGTGAGACTCCAACTCAAAAAAAAAAAAAAGAAATGACATTATTTTTGTTTCACTAAAGAGGGAGCTCTAACACTACTGGGTAAATGTTACCAATAATACGAATTTATGTTTTATTATGTACCTGTTCATTTCTGAGTGTAAAGAGCAAGAGGAAAAGGCTCTTCCTTGTCCTCCCTCTCTTCCTAATAAAAAGCCAGACCTCTGCCACGTGGATGGGAGCTAGGAAAAAAATATTCTTAAAAGAGACTGCAGAGCCAGGCTCGGTGGCTCAGCCTATAATCCCAGCACTTTGGGAGGCTGAGGTGAGTGGATTGCCTGAGCCTGCGGGTTCAAGACCCGCCTGGGCAACTTGGAGAGACCTCATTTCTACAATAAAATCAAAAATTAGCTGGGCGTGGTAGTGCACGTCTGTAGTTCCAGCTACTTGGAAGGCTGAGGCAGAAGGATCACCGGAGCCCAGTAGGTCGAGGCTGTGGTGGCCGGGAGTGTGCCACTGCACTCCAGTCTGGGTGACATAGTGAGACTCCAACACACACACACACACACACACACACAAAACAAAAAAGCCAGACTGCAAACCAGATACATTTTATAAGTCAGGTCATCTAATTATGTACTCATACACATCCCTTTTGTTATTCCTGGGCCTTTAGTAAAAACCTTAGTTAAATGTTCCAGTCTTGCCTCAGCTGTGCTACAGGAGACACAGCACAGGTCTGTCATGATTAGTTCAGCATTAAGGGGAGCAAGCTGACAAGACAGGGATCCACTAAGAGGTCTAGCAGATCCACTTGGGTGGAGTATTCCACTGCCCATGGTGAAAGCACGCAGCTTTTATTTTCGTAGTGTGGAAGTTTAGCACAAGGATTTCCTAAAGCATGGTATCTCTACCACATACTAAAGAAACACTCAAGATTAAAAATGCAGAAATGGGGGACCCAGGCCAGATACAATGACTCGGAATGCTTGTGTTAAGAGGCAGGAAACAGCATTTTTGAAAAGCTTCCCAAATTATATTTAAACTAAGGCCTGAGAGTCATTGTGAACCACTGCTTTATAGACTGGTTCTCAAGTGTAGTTAAGAGACCACCTTCCCTGCCGAGGGTCCCTGAGACCCATTCAGAGGGTCTGCGAAGTCAAAACATTTTTCATAATTGAATGAAGGCATCACATGCTTCTTTTTCATTCTGTCGAGTATACAGTGGTGCTTTCCAGAGGCTACCTGATGTGTGATATTGCAACAGACAGAATGCAGAAGAGGATATGACCCATCTGTCTTCTTTAAGTGAGAAAGTAAGAACATTTACAAAAAATGGAAAACAATGCTACTTTTCTCACTAAATCTTTTTATGTTTTGGAAGTTATTATTTTTAAATGAATAAATAATTTAAAACTTTTAATTTTTTAACATAATCGTGATATAAATAACCCAAATACATAGTCTTTGGAACGAAAGGTTTGAGAGCTGCTGTTTTATCGCATCCATCTAGCACCCTATGAACCTCACTCAGTGTATATTTTACTTTAGATCTAATTCAAGAGATCATATGCAAAAAAAAGCTTCTTAAACTCATCTCAGGAAAGAGGGTTTAAATCTCCACACTGAAATACTGAAGTCTAACTGGTTTTAGTTAAACATCCAAGATACAAAGCATATTTTCCTTGGTGACATCAAAATGTAATATATTGATCTTTTTTTTTTTTGAGTCGGAGCCTCACTCTGTCGCCCAGGCTGGAGTGCAGGTGCAGTAGCATGCTCACGGCCACCGCAGCCTCAACCTGCTAGGCTCAGGTGATCTTCCACCTCAGCCTTCCAAGTAGCTAGAACCACAGGCATGTGTCACCACGCCTGACTAATATAAATGACCTTTTAATTCCTACAAATGTTGACTCTGATGTATGAAATAGAAAACCATACTTTATGTGATACATTTAAAAAAAATTCATGAAGTAGTAATATGATAAACACGGGCATTAGATTCTAAGTGACTAGTGGCAAATGAATGGCTACTCCTAACCGTTAGCTAAGAATAATCCCCGATTTAGGAAAGAAAATAAAACAGAAAGGGATGAAGTGGGGAAGTTCCTGGAAAAGAATTTTTCTAAAACTCACATTTTTAGAAAGTGGTGAAATGTGACTGGGCAGACAAATACTGCCATTATACTAAGCGAGACAATTTTATCACTAAATTTAAATAGATCTTAGATATTATTGCCAAATTAATTGATCATATCTTGACATTACAGAATGACAACATTCTGAAGTTTGGAAACAGCTGTGGTAAAAACAGGTCTTTCCAGGTTTGCATCGGGGTTGTTGCATTTAACCTGTCATGTCTACTTTTCTCATGTATTAGCCATTTAAAGCCTCTAAGAATGCTAATTGGGAATGATGTTTGAATGAGTAATGCTGTGAACATATTTACTAATTTAAACCATGTTACGATCCTAAATGATATAGCTATTTAATATATATTATGTTGACAATGGGAATTTGAAAGTAAGTATATTTTTCTGAGTTGAGTAGTCTTTTAGACAAAGTGCACTGAATAGAGTTTCCAGTCTTATGGTACTTCCTAAGTTAGTTACACTTATCTTAAACATCTTCTCATCAGGAGAGAATTAAAGAATACTTGAACCAAAAGTCCAGCAAATCTGACTTCTTCTGTTCCCGATTTTGGTTTGCATGTCCACTTACAACCATCATTTCTCTGCAAATTTTCTACTTAGTCTATTATAAAAAATCAATGCTCTACAAGTTCTCTAAGAGGTTCAGCAGTTTTCTGGAGTCTCTGAATGATTACAGCATTCTGTAACTCTGCTTCTTCCAGTGTGAGTGTTTCATCAAGCAATCTGAGGACAGGAAGAGCTGTTGCCAGAGAAAAGGGAGGACTTCTTTGAGATCCTTGGTACTTTTCAATGAAGTCTTTGATATGGCTTACCCTGTAAAACAGCAGAAACTATTAATATAATTTTATGAAAACTTGTATTACCTAATTTAGAGCAGTAACAGTTTGACTCCCAGGTTGGAATGCAATATTGTGAACACAGCTTACTGCAGCCTCAAACTCCTAAGTTCAAGTGATCCTCCCCACTCAGACTCCCAAGAAGCTAGGACTACAGGTGTGTACCACCATGCCTAGTTAATTTGTTTTTATTTTTAGTAGAGATGGAGCTTTGCTATGTTGCCCAGGCTAGTACTGAACTCTAGGCCTGAAGTGATCCTCCCACCTCAGCCTCCCAAAATGCTGGAATAACAGGCATGAGCCACCATGATTGGCCTGGATATATTAATACACAGAATAATCAAACTGTGATATAACGGATTATTTGGGCAATCTTTCAAAGGCCAATATCCCTAGATATTTGAAGACAGTAAGGAATTACTGCTTAAATTGGATAACTAAAGGCTAAAGCTTAGGTGTGACAAAGGTATTATGACAACATTTTAGAGAGAACTCATTGTCTGGGATATGCTTAAAGTTAGTTCAGTGGGAGCTAAGTGAAAGATCATGATATATTCTCTTTGCTTTTGTATATACCTAAAATTTTCTATAACATAAAGTTTATCTATATTATATCTATATAATTAGCTCTGAATGGAACAGAAATTGTCTAATCAATGATCCTCCACAGACACAGGTTGTACCTCTTAAATACCAGGTCACGCTGTGCTTCAAATACAATTAGGAAAAATTTTAACTCAGTGCTGGTGGAATTTCAGCTAGTATAAAGGACACAGTGTTATTCACTACAATGTAATATCATCATCGGCCCAGCCAGTACTTGAACCATTTCTGTAAGTTTCTGATTGTTTTAAGTTCAGACGAATTATTTGAAAATAAGCATAACAATTTGGTATTTTTTAGGGATATATACAAGGGGGGGGCAAAAAATTCTACAATTTATTTATAAAAATTTTTGTTTATTCTTACATGTTAAACTTTAGTCACCTTCAAAGTACCCTCTATTTGATGAAATATACCTACTGAGACACTTTTTCCATTGCTAAAACAGTTTTTGAACTCAATTTTGATACCTTTTAGTGCTTCTGCCATTTTTTTGTTTCACTTCTTCCACACTGGCAAAACGTTTCTCTTTGAGGATTTTTTCATCCAGGGAAACAAAAAAAAAAGTCACTCAGAACGAGATAGGGTGAATAGGGAGGGTAGAGCATGGGGGTCAAGCCATTTTTGGTCAAAAACTGTTGAACACTCAGCATGGTATGGCAGGTATGCTCACAAATCACCCAGCATGAAATAGGCAAATGAGTTAAAAGAATTCCCCCCCAAAATTCACTGAAGCTGAATGCAGCCTCTCACAATGCCAATGGGTTCCCAGAACACTTACCTAGTGGGGGAAGCCTATATTACAAGGGGCCTGTCTTCGAAAAAATAATTCAGGTTTTTTTTTTTTGGTTCCCCCTTGTATATATTTAGTAAAACTAAGAATATAAGCAGAAAATGATTAACACAAGTTTAAGACAGTGTTTATACCTTATACAGAAGAAAAGAGATGATCAGAAAAAGCACATATGTATATTGGTAAGGATTCATGTTTTGAGCTAGGTGGTACACATGTATTTGCTTTATTATTCTTTTTTTTTTTTTGAGTTGGAGTCTCACTCTGTCGCCCTGACTGGAGTGCAGTGGCATGCTTCCGGCCACCGCAGCCTCGACCCGCTGGGCTCCGGCGATCCTTCCACCTCAGCCTT